AACCCCAAAACCCCAAAACCCCAAAACCCCAAAACCCCAAAACCCCATATTAAAAATTTGCAATTGAAAATAACCAATTTTAATATTAACTAATGTCATTTTCGTATTGGGATCCCAAAAACTTACTATATCTTTCACATTGGAGAGAGTATCAAGAGCTCAGACAAGATATGACATCTCAACAGTTGGGGCTATCTCTTAATGCACTTTCACAGGGTATTACCAAAGGTGAAAATTTTTTATCCGTACCAATGTATCATCTTAGAAGGTCTGATTGGTCTCCAAATATGAGAAAATTTCAAACTCATCCTCAAGGACTTGCAGAAAGAGAATCTAAATCCAGAGAAATCATGAGTCAAGGTATTTATCTCTTTTTCATTAGTGCTTTGAATATCCAAGAGGCTATATCTCTCTAGTTCCTATTAACAAAAGGGTTAAAAATTTAGCAACTCATTTTTTTTTACTCGATTATTTTTGGTGAAATTTAATGAAATATTAACTTTTTCAAAGCTGAAGAACAAGAGAAATCAAGGGATGAAGGAAGCAAACCAGAAAAGAAATCAAGAAAACCTTGTTCTGAAGGATACTATTGTACTTGAGGTCTCTCTAAAGACAATGCTTACAAAATAAATACTATTCTTAAAAAGAAAAACTTAGAATTCATGCTTGCTTTAAGAGGGTTCTCTTTCCAAATTAGAGAAACACAAACTCCAATTACCAGGAAGAGAGCCTTCAAATTTGTGTGTAAGTACAATGGCTCTTGCGATGCTGTATTTGATAGGAGCTGGAACTTGCTCGATCACTGAAGAATGCACTACAGAATCAAGCCTTATCAGTGTCCTAGATGAGATAAAAGATTTACCCAAAGAGGTAATTTGGGTAAACACATTGCTACCCACGAGACACCCAAATAATAAATTGATTCTAAAGTTTGAATAAACCCTCTAACCTTACTAAAATTCCAAGTTCTCTTATTTTTAAAAATATTCGTACTATCAGGAAGCTGATAGCTTTCTCTGCTGCTTCTGTGACTTCCGAGAACATTGAATTTATTATCCTACTAATAGGCATAAATGGCGAAGTTTTATATACTATCCAAAATTAGTTAAAAATTCATCAAAGTTTTTGGATGAAATCTCCAATAGCTGCTATCAGAATTATTGGTGCCCCATAGCTTCTGGATATGCCACAGATGGCTACTCTGAATGACTTTTAGAATTTTATTAATGTTTTGCATGGACTTGATATCCCAATTTCTTTAAAGGCTACTAATTGAAAATTCAAGTCCGGACACCTAAAAGGAAAACATATAATTAATTCATGGCTAGTTTTAGTGAGCCTTGAGGTGGTAATTTAGAACTTCACCAATTGGCATACCAAGTTCATTAAAAATTAGCTATTTTTTAATTTTCAAATGAAGAGTCTTCTAAAACTAGTTATGTTTAAAAATACCGAGGTAATAAATTAAGAATTTTGAATATCCGTTATTTTGTCATTAAGTCTTCAAGTCGATGATAAAACAATAACTTTGAATTCTCAATTTTTAGCCGCTGTGTTGCTCATAACTTTGCTTGCATTGAAAATTTATATGAAGTATTAAATGAAAAAGAGAAAGAATAGGATAAGCAGCATCGTAAATCTTAAGTTTCTTATGATATCAATTTGATAATTGTACAATAAAAGCAAATCCTAATACTTAAAATAGGCATAGGTGAAGCTTTAATGTCTACAATGCTTCTTTAGGTTATCAAGCACGACATAATTCGGAATATTCGCCGAAAAATTGTGAGAGGGATAACATTTATGCAGATCATTTGTTAACACTATTTTAGATATCTAAAATTTAGTTGCCTCGAAGCTGATTGAGTTTCATAAAGTTAATGATGTATAAAAGAAGTGAAAATATAAAATTTATGACTTAGACCTTCTCAAGCATGATTTTAACCTCTTCCATATCTCGTACAATTAATGTAGGTTAAACAGATATCTTGCGACAATCGAAATGCCCATAATGTAGGGGTTTTGACACTTTATTCTTGAATTAGGCTTCATATTTTTCAAGAAAAAGATTTATTCTATCTATTGTTAAAAGATTTCTCTCATATCTAAATTTCAAAAGACCGAGCTTAGTTGGATAGCATAAATTGAGCACACCAGCTTGACTTTAGACAAAATGGAGAGCCAAGTAAAGTTTATGGTTATTAAGTAAATAACTTGCATTAAATAATACGAATTCCGGACCGCTTACAAATTTCTGAGAAGAAAGACATAGATCATTATCTACAGAATTTTGTAAAAGAAGCTTCACTCTACTCATAAGCAATGACATTTAAGATAATATTTATCAAAATTTCTGATTTTTCGACCAAGTAAATAATAAATTGCCTCTTTATTCCATATTGGAGAAATACTATTGATCATATTTTCATCTGAGCGTCATTTTCGATCGATTTCAATTTACTAAAGCTATAGTGGGGTTTTGGGGTTTTGGGGTTTTGGGGG